CCCCAAAACCCCAAAACCCCAAAACCCCAAAACCCCAATAGAGTTAAATTTTGTTGAATTTAATATTTTTCTTTTCCAAAGCAGTGATGTAAATGCTTCTCGCAATATCTTTGTGTTACTCTTGAACATGGAATCCCATAGCTCTTCAATCTGTATTGGTGCTTGACTAGCATCTCAGGGACTTCTACATAGTGCTTAGGAATCTTAGAATTCCACAATCTGAAGGAAAGAGCTGCTCCACGAGGGAAGAGTTTGAGAGGAAGGTTGAACTCATTATTCATCTCACTCCAGGCAGGAAGTTCTCCTCCTAAAACTCTATCTCTGTCCTCAGCAGAGTATTCATTCCCAAGATTAAAATCATAAATTTCTTTCCAAGAATTGATTGAACCACACCACGAGCTACCAGCATATTGATTATAATATCCACAATCAAGATAATAAGTGGAAGCACTGGAAAAAATTACCTTTGTGTCAGGATGGCCCTTGAGAGTTTCTTTCAACGACCCTCCCCACACTTGAAGAACTGTTTTATTCCCAGAATACTTGACAGGATTGTTACTTTGCCAGTATCCAGCATTTATTCCTGGGTATACATCTTCTAAAATTTCTCTGACTCTCTTTATATAGTATTCAAAAAGGTCTCCAGAGGTCATGTTGTTTTCCTTCAGGAACTTCTTGGTAATATCTAAATTTGAAAAACATCCATAGCTGACTTCGTCAGCTCCGAGGTGAATGTAATCTGTGTCAAGGATTTCTTTCAAATCGGTAAATAGCTTCCTGATAAATGTATATGTTCGCTCATCAGCTGGGTTTATTGAAGCGTAAGGTGGCCCACCATGGTATGAAGAAACATCTGTGTAATTTCTAAAGCAGCCGATAACTCCTTTAAATTCAGGATAAAAGTTAGTGATATGTAAGTGACCTGGGCCCTCAATTTCTGGGATCACCCTTATTGCTCTCACCTGAGCGTACCTTACAATTTCCTTGACGTCTTCAGGTGTGTAAATTTCTTTATCGCTGAAAGCCGTGTAATTGACCATGTCAGGGTACGATTTCATAAATAACCCAAAGCTGTCATCATCAAGGAAATGCCAATGGAAACTGTTAGTTCTTCCTAGCAGCATTCCATCAAGCGCAGTCTTGAGAACATCAGGATAGAAATACTCTCTTGCCGTATCAATCATGAGACCTCTGTAAGGATACTCAGGATAATCAGTGATCTTGATAGGAACATACTTGATATCGTACTGCTCATTATTATCATCTGAGGTCTGCTCAATCAGTTGCGATAAAGTGTCAAGAGCTCTCACAATTCCTGGATAATAGTCTGCAGTAATATTGACATTACTCTGCTCATCAACTGCTAGCTCATATCTTTCGTATTCAGCATCGAATCCTAGCGGAACATATTTATCGCTCTTCTTTTTGAAGTCCAAATGTACATGGATTTGATTCTTTTGGTTGTCTTGGCATCTGCTTTTGTAATTTTTACCGAAAGTCACGTTGTTATAAATATCAATAATCTCGTCCAGCATGCTGTCAGAGTTGTGGTACATCATGCCACATTCGTGGAACTCAAGAGTCTTTCCTCCATATGTAATGTTTCTAGGGATTGGGCCGATTATAGGTTTGTCCCTGTAATCACTTCTGAAGATATTGTTGTTCGCTGGATTCTCAGCCATCTCCATCTGAGAATTACAGACAGTAAGGAAGACTCAGATTACAAAGCATAAAATCAAAGAAGCCATTTTTAAAATTATATCAAATTTAAGATTTTGGAGGGGTTTTGGGGTTTTGGGGTTTTGGGGTTTTGGGG